TTCTTTTGCAGCAGAAGCTCTCTAAAGTTGAAGCAACAAATGATAAATTTAAGCTATTTTTAATAAGGGCTTTGGGATAGAACAGTGAAACAAGGCTATCAATAAGTGCCTAACTTCACCTCAAACTCAGCAGCAGAATCAATCTGACATTGCCAAGATTCAGGAAATGTTTGAAAATCTGGACGACAAAGGATCCAATTTGTGAATGCAAAGTTTTCCAGAGGGAAATGAGAGAGAAAAGAGGCTGTCATTTTATAAATAACTTTTAAAGGAATTCTTTACAATCAAGTATGTGTGTGCCTGGCTTCACAATAAAAAGCCAAGCTGTGAGCTGACAAGTCATCAAGTGCAGTGACAGTAGATTTTCTGACTCTCAAAAACGTGGTGATGGTTTTAAAAGTTTGTTTTTCTTTGGTGTCAGAAGAAAAACAGCTGCCCAGTTTCAGAGGCAAGAGAGCTTAAGATCTCTTGTACTATTCTGTAGTGCATTTTGTCAAATACACATCAGGTAAGAACCTCTGACTACACCTGTTCCTTCAAAACAAATCCTACTGCTCACCATAGGAAGGGAATGTAAAGTAGATATTGATTTGTAAAACAACTGCAGTATATTGATACAATCTGACCAATGAGATGACATTTTGGCTGAAGAATGCTTTTTCTAACAGCAGAAGAAAAATACAAGTCTGCTCATATCAAGTACCATTTTTTTTATTTCTGGGTTTTTTGGTATTTCATTGGCAGGTATTGACCAGACAGTATGTTTTTATACTGTGCTCGATTCATGTGTTAGATTTGCTCCCTTTTATGTTAAGAGATTCTTCAGAATTTTCTCTCTTTGCAAAATTGGTGTATTAATTGCACAGCAACCAGAGATGCAATTATCAAAGAAAGTGAGGGGAATTTTGTTACAAGCTTGCTTTGGCTCATTGAAATCACCAGGGCTCCAACCCTGTATTATCTCAAAAGAGATGTGTGCATAACAAAGAAAACTTCAAATTCTGATTATTTTTCTATTTTCAAGTCAGGAAGGATAAGACAACAATACTTCTGCCACCCTTATCTTGCATGTGCTGGTATATAATGTTCTTTTGATTTTGAATTTTAGCATTCGTGCTTTCTAAACATACTTTTTCAGGCAGCAAAGTTTGGTTCTTTTTTTCTGAATTTAGCTGGTACAAAATGCTGGGAATTGTCTTTGAAGTCATAGGGTGTGAGATGCCATTATCTGCTGTAACAACGAGTAAAATCTCAATTGCCACTGGAGTTCCTCCACCTCAATGACATTACATTGTGTGGCTGTCAGAAGGCTGAGGCACAGTATTTCTCTCACCAGTTGTTCCTTCTAAACAGCCTCAAAATACACTCTTATTCTCTGTGTAACAGAAGTATGAACAGGGTAAAGAGCAAGGCATATGTATTTAATTTTGCCCTATTGGTTGTGACTGTAAAAAGAGAAGCTCGATTTGAAAGGAGAACCTTTTAAAACCCTTTCAAGACTAAAGTGTTCATACAAATCACTGTGTTAATTATATATCCTAAAAATTATGCAAATAATCTTTTTAGCAGTGAATTAATAATGTTAATTATTTGAAAAATAGCATCTAAGTGCGGGGTTTTTTACAAAAATGTGTCAAAGTATTTAAAATTCTCATGCTGAGTGTACATTTTAATAGTTCTGTTTTATTTCTTTTTTAATAGTGACAGATGAATTCTCCCTATACTATTTTAATGTTGACCAACAGACACAGGAGAAAATTACAAGTGCAAAATTTTTACACTGGGTTCTAGATTCTTGCACAAATTTCTTAAATAATCATTTACATTTCACATCTTAATGTTTCACTTTATTTGCCTGTGGCACAACTGAAATAATGCTAATGGAAATGCAAAAATCGTAGCAACTAGGAGAGACACATTCAAGTCAGGCTCTTGACCTCTTCTTTAGAGCTGTGGACATAAATTGCTGCCCAATCTGAAAATTTCTCAGAAAAGAGTTCTCATGACCTGGACATTGGTATGCACCTGGATCAGAATGTTTAGTTCATAAATTATTTGATGTATCCATATCTTTTTAGCTTCCCAAAGGCATCCTTATGTCTAATACCTCCTCTGGTGAAGGGTAGCACAACCTAAAAATCAAGATAACCACTTCCCTGTGCCTCCTACAGCTGGTGCTATAGCAGTAGACCTTTGCTTTCAAGCATATTTAGGCACAGGTACCACAACACTGCTACTGTTCAAGCTGTGGCTCTCTATAGCTTTACATCTGCACCACTGATGGAATGCTTTGAGTCCCAGAATTTTCCAGTATTTGTCCTGGGATTTACATAACCTGTGACAATGATGAGGTAGGCTGCTACCACTCAAATCATGAACTACTGGATTTCGTACAGTGTATCTGTAGTACTCCAAAGAAGAACAAAGCAAACTAGAAAAGTTTACAAAATTAAACTAAAATCTGAGAGACAATATCTTAATACTCCCAGTTATGGAAATAAAGTTTCAGTTCTATGGAGTGTATGGCAAGATTATTTTATAAATAAATAAATAAATAAATAAATAAAAGCAGACCACAAGGTTTGTAAAGAAATGTAACTGATGTTATATGCCCTCTTACACTGAGAATAGCAAATAATAAAGGAATAAAATGTGTGGCTACAATTCATTCATTCATTCACACATTCCTTCATTCATTCACACATTCTTTCCATAAACTGACTCCAATTCCCAGCTAGGTTGTGCATTTGATGAAGGACAGCTGATCAAGGGACTGAAAAACTTTCAATAACTCAATAAAATTATCTTTCAGTATAATCATGGTATATACATATTTTCAATTAAATACTTACATTTGCAATTATTGAGTGGAGATGCAATGCAAATACACAAGCAATAAAGTATATCATCAACATTTTGGTTTTGAAAATTCCCATAGTTCTCACTTGCTTTAGCTGAGATCTTTGAAAACTCTGAAAATTGGCCTTTAATTGATCAAGTTGGGTGAGAAAGAGGTTCTTTGGTGACAGAACTTCTACTGCAATGCACAATCAACAACTAACAGAAAGATTCTTCCAGATAATTATCAGAAATAACTTGAACAGCCAAATATTCTTCATCTGACATCAGAGAGATACCATAGGGAAAAGATATGTTGTACCATAAATTAGATGTTGTGTTTGCTCTTTTTTCTTTTCAGTGGTGGTTGATTTCTGGTGAAGAAAAGTTTTATATATGAGGACACACTGTCACTGCCACAGGACTGTGAGAAGTCTTTTTTAGTTAGTAGATTATATTCAGTTCAGTCCCTGAGCTATTTCATTAGATAATATTGCTCTTCCCCAGGACTCAGGAAAAAACAAAGTGTGGGATCATTTTCTACCTTCTTGAAAGAAAGCTTATATTACACCAGACTGTCTAACATATCTACTCCACAGTCTTTGGTTTATCAGAAAGTTTATTAGATTTTGTTCAGGAAGGAGACTCCAAATTTTATTCTTATTCATCCCTGATTAAAACAGGAAATGTGGAAGAGTCTGCAGGTTGGGTTTTTCACCTGAAGGTGCAGGAGAGTTGGTAACCTGGCAGAATCCTTCACACTGAGGACTCAGAAACACTGATAAATGCCAGTGATGAAATCCTAACCCCTCAGCAATGACTGACACAGATGTTATTTTTGCAGATAACAGTCTTATGGTACACGAAGCATTAGTCATATCTTTTAAATAATTCAGCAGAATATTAATATACTCCAACTGCCTTGTAGTTAAGAGTGACAGGTGTGTTTAAGTTAACACCTCAAAAAACGCCCAGACCATCCAAGACATGAATTTGCTTCAGGACCACCAGCTTTAAGTGCCTGATTCTCCATAGTTTTTGACTCCAATAAAAGGGTTGATAGACATTGTATACTCAGAAAATATAAAAGAGGGGGTTTTTTTGTCTTTCTGTTATGCTGGTCTTTTAGGAGGAAAAGAGCAAGAGTAAATTTCTGTTCCACTGCACTGGTGTTATTATGGAGTGGAAAACTGGAAATATTAGTCAAGTGGTTTAAAAAGACCATTAGGATTTAGTCCGCCAGAAGTGTTTACCTGTTGCTGTTAGGGCACTACTGTGACAAATGAAAAGTTGTGGGGTTTTTACTAAAACCAAAATTTACTGGTGGGGAGAATGGGGGTAAGAAGGGCTCATTTGACAAATGCTGTAAAGGAAGTGGGATGGCATTATTTACTGAGCAGGTTTGTCAATTCAGGTTATGTAGGGGAATGGGACCATAACTCTGCTTATGTAACACCCACATTTCTGTCAGGCACCTCTTTGCTCTACATAGGTCACAAGCATGATTTTGAACATTGGCTCAAGTTCGGTGATGTGTGGAAAGTATATGTTCTGGTTGATTGTGCAAAATGCATGTTCTGGCGGATTGTGCTTTCAATCCTGTGTTTGTGTATCTGATGTTGTGTGGACTTTGTTATTTCTGCAGCTGAACCCAAGGTTTGCCCCATTCAGCTGTCATGCTCTGCTTCTTATTTGTAGAACAAATAACATTTTTTTGTTGTTACTCTGAAAATGTGGAAAATAGAAGTATTGTTATATCTGCCTTCTTGAGGGATTGACTATAAGCCTATCTGCTTTCCCTCTCTTAAGGAAAAATGCACAAAATCACAATACAACAAAACCAAAACCCCTTTCTCAGTTATCTGTAACAAGAAACATGTTTTTCCTTGCTCATCATACGGCAACATTGTTGGGGGAAGCAGAATCCAAATATTCAGGCTACTTTTTCTTCCCAAAACCTTTCTCCTGACATTAATTTGCACAAACGCCTGAACTTTCCAGTTAACTGAGGAGAGCGGAACAGGCAGGGGTGACCAGAGAGAAAAATCCTTAAGGTATGAGGCACATAAAATAGGATTTTATAGTCAAATGTCCGCTTCACAGACTACCTATGAATTAAAAAAACCACAAGTGCAGTTATAACTACTTCCAAGACGCACAAAATGGTCTCAAGCACCAACCCTTATAGCGGAGGCCAGATCCCCCAGAGAATATTTGTGTCCCGGCCTGGATTGTTTCAGGCTCGCACAACAAGAGCCGGACGTGCTGCCCTGGCGGCTCTGGCCCCTGCACCCGCAGGGAGCACCTGCCAGCAGCTCCTTGGCAGCCGTGCCCTGTGCCAGCTGTACCAGTGCTGCACGCTGTCCTCAGGCCCTGGGAATGCACCCGGCAGCTTCCAAAAGTCCCCAGTGCCCTTGCCTTGCCTTCTGAGCTCTGGGGACGCAGCTGAGGAGCTTCTGCTTGGGGCTTCTGGGGTAATGCTTTTATTTTCATTTAAGCTGGGAATTTGGAAAAAGAAATGGTGTAACTGTCCTTTTAGGATCATTGTAGTCCTCTACATTTGGTCTATTTGTGTTCTGCTCTTTCAGGGTGTCTGGAGAGGACAAAGAAAAACCTAGCAATTCTTTTCAATAAGTGCTTTGCAGAGAAATATTCTTTTTGGTTTGCCTTAGGAAGTTGACTATGGACTTGTGGTGGAGCTTGGACAGGAATCTAAATGGATTGACAATGACAAATGGTGGTGTATTATTGAAGGAAAATTGAAATATATGTGCTCTGATGAGTTGCAAAGACATCAATGCTCAAAATTATATTTCCTTCTAAAAGATCCTTTAATTTTTAGACATACTTTTTTCAGTGCAGTCACAGCTGTCAGCACTGACAAGGTTGAATTTACTAATTCATGTCTTCCACTTCTACTCTGTAAAGAAGCTAAACTGCCTAATGAAAAAGCTCCCAGATTAGATTTTCTTTTTAAATAGATGATGATAATAATAATAATAATAGTAATAATAATAAAGTGGGTTCTTCATCTGCAATTCCAGCTTTGATCTCTCCAAGACTGTGACTAGAATGGAGGAGAAAGAAAGAGGAAGCACAAAGAAAAATTATGGCTGTTGTAGAAACAAAGTTTTTTATAAATCTGGTTTCTTTCATGTAATTTCTTTCTTAGAGATGATAATTGCTGAAATACTTTGTGTGCTTTATATTTTTTCTCCTTTGTTCTCTATCTGTCTCTCTGTATATTTGTGACAAATAACAGATTCAATTTCTTCTTCAGCATTTTGCATCATACGTTTCTGCAGTGCCGGATGGGTGACTGCGGCACACAGAGAGTTAATTCATCTGCAGGACTTTTATTTCATTATAAAATTGTTTCTCCACTGCCAGGAGTTGATATCTATTGTGTCTGTGGAAATGCATAACTCAAGCAGGTCCTGATATCCCTGGGCAAACAGGATCCTGGGATAGCAGAAAAACATGAAATTAAAAAAAAAAACCCAAACAAACAAAAAACACAGGAGACACAAACTCTCAGCAAAACCCCTCTTAGACCTGCAGCTGTATTGCACACAGAGATGTCCAGGACAAAAAGTGCTTGAAAATGACTTTTAATTCCCTGTGCCTAGATACTGAGTGTCAGCTCTCAAAGTATGAAAGTGCCAAAATCCAGATGGGCCTCCTGACACTTTGACTGGGTTTATTACAAGGTAAATACTTTGGCAATATGACTAGGGGAGGTCCAGTCTAGCCTGAGTGTCTAAGAACATGTGGTACATAATGTACCATATCAAGAAGAAGAGTAAGCTATTAAATAGAAAGGAAGATGAGATTTCCCCTTGGCTGTGAAGGTCAGCCTGAGCAGACAGTTTAAAGCATCCCAAAAAGGGTTCACATTACTGAAGATACTTGATACTTAGTTTTACTCCATGTTTTTTTTTCTCAAGTACTTGGCATGAAAACATTTATATTTCTTTGTCTTTTCACAGCAGACTTTTGGTCAAAATTTTCTTTCTCTCCATCTGTTTTTGGCAATGGGCTTGTCTATGGTCATAGCTGGAAAAAAACCCACTAAATGCAGATTTCTATTGAAATGTTTCATAAGTCTAAGATGTGAAGAAATTTTAAAATGTATTATTGGAAATTTGGAGCTGGGTTTGAAATTTGAAGTTCAGGAGCAATTTTGCTCTTTGTCTAGTTATTTCTGTGTGATATATTTCTGAGCCTTGCTCTTTCATCATAAAAACTTGGTTTGAAATAATTTTTTAAAAGCCAGTGAATTTTTTCAGAAAATTCCTGTTCTCAAGGAAGGTCATGGGAACTGAAGTCACCTTGCTTTGCAAGGACATTTTTTACCAAACACCAAATACTTTGGTATGTTTGAACAGTTCTCAATCAGTATTTGACAGAGCATTCATATATTCTATGCCAGAGCCAATCCCCATCTCTAATAATCGTTTGGCAACTGTCTATGTTCTGTCCATGATCAAGCTTGAATAGAGATTGTCCTGAAAAAAAGATGATTACCATGTACTTTTTGTCATTGTTTCTTAAAAGGGTCAGCTCCAGATATACCTTTTCAGTGTCATAGAACTTGTCTGTGAAACAGTTTCTGATAATTTTCTAGATGTGAAATGAAGCCACATAGGTGCTAAAAAATAATACTCATTAAGAATAGCAATAATCAAAGTGAAAGGAAAAGCGTGTTACATGGAGCTGCTAAAGGTCATCCAAATGCAGTCTACCTTGACATACTGCAATAAATGCCCTCCCTGAACCTAGCTTATAGTAATATAAGTTATATAAGTAATATAGTAATATAATATAATTTTTATTATATAGTAATATAATATAATTTTTATAATTAAAGCATGGAACACTGAAAACACCCAACTCTCCTAAGCTAGGGGGCGGCTTTAGTCTGATTGCCTGCCATAGACTGCCTGTTTGGCCAGCTTGCAAGGAGACTAAGTAGGATGTTCTTGTTGCCTGGAAGTAGTTTTATAATCAGTTGGCCTTCTTGGACATTAGAAAATGTTCATTATTCACACACCTTGACTGAAGCTACTTCAGCAGTTTTGCAGTACAATGAGTAAGAGTGATATCAACCATAGTAAAGCAGAACAGTCAGTGTCATAGATATTTTCTTTTGTACCTGCTGTGTTTCTATCATATAGCTTTGGAAGTGTCCTTTAATGAGCTCAGAGTGCCAAGGTGATGTGACCCCGGTGTGCTTGTCAGCTGTCCCCAGGCAGAGACTGATTTGCATTCAGACCAGTCAGCCTACAGGGATCTGTCCTCTTATCAGGGATCAGCTCCTTATCTGTCTGTCAGTAGTTCACATTAAATGTAGGACAGATCTACAATGGATCTGTAGTACCTTTTTGAAAGGTACTATGTATGCAATTCTCTGAAAAATGGTGCAGCAACATTGATTTATGAGACAAACATATATGTTCCAAGATTTAATCTAGATCAGATGTGATACCAAGGTCTTGCTTTGATTTGTATTTTGTGTGTGCTTCAGAATATCCAGAATATGCCTATATATTTGCCATGTTGATTCAAACAGTCTTGCAACCATTAATTATGAAATATCAATCACACATGGAAAAAATTACTTGAGAGTTGTGTAATGGTCCATAGAAAGTCACAGCTACATCTTTGACTGATCAAAACTACAAAGGCACCAGAATGTGTGTTCCTGTTCACACTGGAAAACTTGGTATTACTAGTGGGGCTGAATGAAAATCTCATCCAGAAGTAACATTATTCTTAAACAAAAATAAAGCATAAAAAGTAAAAGTCTGTTTCAGGGGAAACCAGCTTCAAACGCACATCAAAGCTCAGTGGGCAGACATCATTCTAATCCTATATTTGCTTCTGCATGTGTCTTTGTTACTCACTAGATTCAGTACCATTCACCCTCTCATTGGCATTATACTTTCATACTATATTTAGTTCTTATCAGTTGATTGCTGGGTGTTTCTGATAATAACAAACTCCCATGTGGTCTGGGGAGATCATTGGATGTATCAGAGTTAAATTAAGTTTCCTTTCCTTGACCCAGCTGTGCTGCTGAGCATGCACTGGGGTACAAAACTCTTTTTCTTATGAAGAGTTTGATTCTCAGTGGGAATGAACTCTGAGAATTCATCAGTAACATGTTAGCAGACAACTCAAATATTGTCCTGCATTTTCTTGTTGAATGACTGTAATACTCAATTCCTCCAATATTTTCTTATACCAGTATCAAAGTCTCTCCTCTCTTACCTCATAATTTCATGTAAACTATTGTCTCTCCTAATTCCCTTTTTAGTAATGTCATCAAGGCAACCCAAAAATGACCTTATTAAGTATTTGTATATTCCTACTTTGATTATATGAACAACCAAACTTTTCACTAATAAGCAGGAATTTGCATTAGAGTCTGACAAATACTAAACCTCTGGCATTTTCGTAAAAAAATTGCTCAAATAATTGCTTTACTTTGTTCCATCAGTTAGGGTTCTAAGTGAAATATGCATTATCTGAGATTAAGGCACGTGGCTACATGCAGACATTAGTAGCAGCATATATTATGTCCTTCTCCCCTCTTCTTAGTATTGTGACTTTTTTCCCTATCAGGCAACTATAGAGAAAAGAGAACTGTCATTTTATTTTGTCTAACACAGACTTGTGTATCTGAGAAATCTGGTGTGAGGCTGTAGCTGTTTCTATACTTCCCACCACTGAACGTGAGAACTGATCCCAGGACAGTTCATTTACCATGTAACCCCTGTGAGCAGGAGCAGGATATTTATTGCTAACTTGAGGCAAGAGCATTTTCTCATTATGCCCAAGGCATAATCAGAAGAAATTATGAGAAACTTGTGTGTGTCCAGGTTTAGATATCACTTGCAAGAATCAAAGTAGTTTTAGATTTTTCATTTTCCATGCTGTTTGAGGAGCAAGAAGAGAGAGAGGACATCTTACAAAAGAATATTTCTGGTCAGGTTAGGCAGAAAAGGTTCCCACTAAAATGAAATTTTCAACATATAAACTAGGTCAGGAAAATATATTTACTTTGTTGCATGAAGATTGGTATAAATTTTTCAGTTTCTGCATGCTGTGAGTTTTACAGATTAGTTTAAAAGAAACTCCTAAATTGAATCAGGAGCTAAAGTTTTTAGATTTTGAAAAAAACTTTGATCTTGTCCTTAAAAAATTTTCAGATTTTTTGGTTGCTTAGACTTCTAAAGAATAAATGTGATATTCTTTATAATTTCCAGATGGCAATGTTTGTTTCTCAGTTTCAACATACATGCACACACACATAACTTCTTTTTTTTTAGTTCTGTGTATTTTCATGAAGGCTGTGATTATTTCTAGTAAATATGACACTCAGATCCCTTGACTTTTTCCTTCTTAAAGGGAGCAACTGCGTGACTTCCAATACATTTGCCTAAAGCCACACTTAATG